ATACATTTGTACTTGGATATTTTTTTATTTATAAATCAACTAGTTTCATTAATATGTATTAGAGTAATTAATAACTGTATAATGAAATGATTTGTAAACAGTAATGATATGGTCGTTACTGTCTAACTTTCAAGTAGTTTTCTTGATTGTTTAATGACAATTTATAATTAGTTAAAATTGACTTATTTAGAAGTGATGCATTTACACCTTGATAATATTATGTCGTGAACTAACTGATTGAAGTTAGAGAACAAAGGTCATTGATTTTAATAAAGTTATTAAGAACTTATACTTACCTCGAGATCTAGGTATCCTCGGATTAGATCCCATATTGGGCAAGCTGGTGTATTCTACTGAGGTATTCCATGTAACACAAAGCATCTTTAAATAATACTTTATTTCATTATTTCATTGTAAACCAATGATGGAGGCAAAATTTGGGAAATAATTTTGATTTCGTCTTGATTCTCTCTTCAAATACCAATCATTTGTGAGTAACCAATGTCGCGTATATCAGTGTCTTCTTTGTGGTGGTCTAATTTTATTGATTAATTGAGTTAGACTTGTGGCCACTTTGTGACTTGATATATGAAGTTTAATCAATACTAAGGGTTACTTCACATGCATAACACTGGTCAATACTCAGTAACCAATCAATAGTAAAATTATGCTATGAAATTTCACTACAGAATTATTCAACAAATGTGTTTTGCCATTGGATAAAATATATATTTTTAGAAGCAGACTTTTTTGAAATAAACTACTTAAAACCTTAATCTTCATTAAGATCTCAACTCAAGTCGTATTACAATCTATTCCTTGCATAACAACATTGTAGATGCTTTAAAATACTACATTTTCTTATGTATATTATCTCTCATTATAACTGTGTATTAAATTATCGATGATTACGCGGAACCACCTAACATCTAGATCAATATCTACACACAATGGAGAGTATGATGATTCAGAAATAATATTTTCAAAATATTATGAAAGCATTTTGACTAAGATATAAGATCTGTTGTGAAAACGTTTTAATAAAGGCTAAGGATATAAAAATCAAGTTTTCATACAGTTTGACTAGACTGATATGGGTAAAATCTCATTTTTAATAAATTAACTTCCAATGCCTTTAGTCATATCACCCAGATATCTGATTAAATGATAATTTTATGAAATAAAAACAGTCACCTAAGTCTAGTTACCTCCTTTATACTTCAACATTTTCCAAAATGTTCCAGGAATATCCACAAGGAAAATTATGGCTGAGAGTTGACAAGATATATGAATTTTAAAACTAACCCTTTTTTATTCTCTACGATTAGGGAAATAATACATGGCAAATAATCAGATTGCTGGTGACCATCCTATAAATATTCATAACTACAGGTGCGACAAATTGTCAGATAATCAGACTAATTTTGCCCTAAACTTTGTTTTGTACAATACTATCATAACTTTTCTCAGACAATTATTCACTGGCATTAATAATTTCACAATAATTGATATTCATCATTTTTGTAAAATAGATATACTTCTGAGGAAACAAATGATTTACTCAAACGTCTTATGCAGTTTTCTTAAAGAAATATGGCCGAAGAATTACACCAACGAACCTTATAAACATAGTTCTTATTTCACTTCAAATCAATAAGGTATAACATCAAACGTGTCTTTGAGTGAGCCGACTTCTGACAACTGTTGTTTGTTGTAGGCATGTACTAACTACTGATGCACTACTAGTAGTATGTTTTTTGAAATAGTGGCTCCTAACAGTTAGTACTCATTGTAGGGAATTCCAATTTCCTATCTCCTTTTAAATTCCTAGTGGAACTGATAACTTGATTTAGGTAGAATATCAAATGCTGAGTATTGTTGTTTGCATCGTTACTGTTATATGGTAAGAGTTAACTTATCAAAGCAACATAACAATAGGAAGAAATTACAGGAGACTTTTGTCTAAGTTATTAACATATCATTAGTCGGTTGACCGTTCGGGGATTAAAATTCGAAGGTAATATTCAAAACACATTGTGTCACATTTTCTTCCAACAAAACTCTTTTATAATAAAGAAAACTTGATCGCTCCCCTTCTACCTATGTGTTTCACCTATATTTTTGTTTTGCTTTTGAGATGGTGGAGCTTTCTTTACTATTATGATTAGATAGATAGTTATCAACTCTTTTATTGTCAGTAAGCAGTAGTTAGATATACTTGATAACGCCTGATATTCCTTGTGAAGGAACATCCGTTATCCACCAGCATTCTTCATCCAACTCTGCCTTGGGCAATCCTTTCTAGCTGTTTCCAGTTGCTATTCATTCGTTTGATTTCTGTTTACGATTCCCGGCTCCATGTATTCATTGGTCTTTCTACTTTTTTCCCCTTCAGGATACTAAGTCAGCACTTTCCTTGGGATGCAGTTTAATGATTTCCATAATGTATCTCCTATCCACTTTCAAAGTCTTCTAATTTCCTCTTCAACTAGAAGCTGTTTCATTTTCTTCCATACCAGGTTGTTGCTGATAGTATCCGACCAACGGACATTCAGTATCTTGCATAGACAATTGTTTGTAAATTCCTGTACTTTTTTCAGTACAGCTGAAGTGGTTATCCAAGTTTTATCACCGTATTGGCTGACAGTTGTTTTGAGTTCCATATGTTATTCAACTGTAGGAATGCAGCCCTTACTTTGCCAATCCTTGCCTTTACGTTCCTATCGGATCCTCCTCGTTCATCGATGATGCTGTCCACGCACGTGAAAGTTTCCACCTCTTCCAGAGTTCCTCCATCAAGTGTGTCTGAGTTGGTGCTCTCTGCGCTTTATTTCAAGATCTTGCTTTGTCCTTTGTGTATTTTGAGGCCTATTGTTTCCGAGGTTGCTGCTTCACTGGATGTCTTCGTCTTTATTTGTTGGTGTGTATGGGATAGAAGAGCTAGGTTATCTGCAAGGTCCGAATCATCTAGTTGCATCCAACCTGTCTATTGTAGTCCGTGCTCCCATAATCCATTCAACCACTAGAAGAATGATAAAAGAGCAAGAGTAAACAGCCTTGTCTAACATCGATCTACACATGGAGTGCATCTGTCAGCTGTCCTCCATGCGCAAGCTTGCAGTGTAGTTCGTCGTATGATGTTGACGATCGTCTTAGGTACACCATAATGTCGACGAGGGTTCCATAATTTTCTCGTCAAGGATTAAATTAACATATTGTTCATTCAATTAGATAATCACCAACCAAATAATATCTTCTATTTAAATTAGCAAATACACTGATTATTGTTATTTTAAAGACTTTTATCAACTTAATAAATATTTAGGATAATATTTTATTCTTATAAGATGAACTCTACTACATGTTTGCTAGGTTTGAAGCTGTCACGAGTTCACTTAATCTGCGAACGAGAAACAAGACTCGATGACCAAAGACCAGTAAGCCAGCTATTGATGCATCCCAGTCCCGCTAACTGGAGGGAGAAGTCCAAACTTGGAATGGAGAAGTATATTCTGCAAAACAGTTAGAAACGAGCGATAACAACAAACACAATTCAAAACGTATATATACAGCACAAAACCGTCCTTGGGGAGAGTTACCAAATAGTATACTGAAAAGACGCAACGGACCAATAACATTTAAGATATTCTCCAGTGGGAAATACGACATGGTGACAAGAGGGCCTTTGGCGCAAAAACAAAGAACTTCAAATTTTCTAAATAAAATTACAAAATTAGGTCCTTTCCCCATTGCATTCTGGGGATCTAACGTCCCAAACAATGTTGTGAAAATATTATCAGTTTTCGCTAATTATATAGAGAATTGCATTAAAGCTGTTTTGCATTATCTGTACTATGTTACAGTTCCCACAGTTTTAAATAGAAACTTACAACATATTTTTCTAATAATTTTTTTTATTAGAAGAAAATTTTGTTGCCTGAAAAATATTATTTATTCAGTTTAGTATAAATATAATACTAAATTCTATTTAATTTCAATGACATATGATAAATTTTGTTTTCTCACATATATTCTGTTTAATAAACTTTCATTTTGAAACTTTTTTTTAGTCACAACTGATTAGATTCAATGTAAAATTTAGGCGTTCGTGCACGAGATCGATAGGTTCTGGATACGAATTCCAAGAGTGGGATCATGGATGCGTACTGCTGAGAAATCCCACATTAGGACGAGACAGTCATCGAGTGCTTCCAGATTTTCCGTGATGGTCTAGCTTTAACTGACTCATGAATTCAACTATTAAACTACTATAATATCCATAAAATCGCTTTCTGATTCTAAAATTTAATTATTATTTACCATTTTATAGTTAAGACACATAAACTTAATGTATTTAATGAACTTTTAGAAATTCTATGTATTTTATTGATGTGAACTTCATTTTTATGATGAAGCACTAATTAACCATGGAAAACCTGGAAGCACTGGACGGTCGTTTCGTCCTATTGTGGGACTCCTCAACAGTGCACATCCACGGCCTCGCCCCCTGCGAGATTCGAACGCAGGACCTATTGGTTTCGCGCGCGAGCACTTAAGCACTAGACCACTGAGCCGGCATCCAACAGTGTTAATGTCTAACTTCAACTAATCCACAAAATTGAGCGATACATCCAACATTGTTTTTAGTGAGTTACTATCTCACAACAGACCCAATTGAATTCCACTGGTCACTACTTCTCACTAGAACTCCAGGATATATCTCGTGAAGCCAGTCACTAGTGAGCATATGTTGATTAATATCAAAAGGGGTTTTGTGGAGATTGTAGTAATTTCAATGGTTAAGATCATGAGTCAGTTATTTGTGTAAACAAATTTTATTTCATTCCATATATTTTTTATACAGAGTCAAGTCTATAAATTTTTGATTGGTTGAAATATTATTCACTGACCTTGAATGGTAAGATGCACCAATCCTGGGTTTTTCTTTAATGATATAACTAATCATACAATCCGTATATAAATAAATATTATTGATCAATCAGTAATAATATTACTTTATAATTTATAAATATGCGCCCATTTCTTATTTTATATCTAAGCTTCATTATCAGTTTTATAAATTGTAATAATGAAGAAGATGAATCAGATTTATCGATCATTGTAGGTTCTATCCATTAATCAATTGATGAATCATTAAAAATTTTTTAAAAAAAAACATTATAGACTGAAGAATTAATGAATGCTGGTTTCGATTATGCTAATCTATTACATAAATGGTTTGAAAAAAATATTGGAAAAAATGAAATTAAAATAATTAAACAAAATTTAGCGAAATTTGGAAAATTAGCATTAAATTTTATTGATTCAAGTAAGTAGTTATGATAATGATTCAATCAATAATCGTGATCAATAATTTGTTTTTTTTCTTAATTGTAGCTATACAAAACTTAATTAAAGATGATGATGATGGTGATAATGGGGATTATGATCATGAAAATGAATATAATGATTCACAACTAAAACATAATGAATTATAAAATCAATAATTTTGCACTGTATATACATATACATATACGTTATTTTGTAAAATAGATTAATGTTTCTTTGATTGAATTAAAAATAAACTCCATAGATAAAAAATGTTTTTTTTTATTATTATAATTGTAAAATTGCTCATTCGTAAACAGGAAATATTAGTGTTTGCGAGATATAGATTAGATTGAAGTATGCTCAATGCATGATTGCTTTGGTGTACGTTAGTCGATACTTGGAGGAAATTCTAGAAACTTCTGATGTAAAAATCATAAATATGCTAACATTTTCCCTACTATACTTCTTACTTCCATCTAACCTTGTTACTTTCCTGTTCAACTGTGTTCTAATTTGGGGACTTGTCGAATGAATTAGTGTACAAGAATACTAAGCAATAGGAATAGTTGGGTTGTAATAAGAGAGAATTATAACAATTAGATTATTATTTTTACTGATATACTTTAAGTAGTGATTGGTTAGATGTTGCTAACAGCAGATTCATATTTATTTCTGTCTTTTTTCTTTAAGAGGTATGATGTTTTTTCTCCAGTTGAACTATCAAAAATAACAATATTGTAAGTAAGGTTATTACAAAAACGTTTTACTAATGGGTAACAGGTAGACTTTGTTGACGAGTGCCAAAAAGCACGAAACTCGGATTCAGGGTTTCTTGTTAACTACCTCCAACCACCATCTTATCTCAACATAGTGAACGCAATTTCGAGTCACCTAGACTAATGACCACATTGCAACCTGGTCAATAGCATTCGATTTGCACTAAGAAAGACTTGATACACATGACATTGATCACTACTCAGTGATCAGTCAATTGTGAACACAACTCGATCTTACTGTATATCAGTCATCAATCTGCATTTTTTGAGGTTCGTTGTAATTAATAATAAAGATTGAATTCTATGTAATTAAGCCTAGTTACTTCACTAGTTTAACTGAGTCAATAAGTTTAAAACCTTCGAAATTCCTGAAAATTGATCAATTAAATGCAGAAAAAAACGAATATTTATTCGCAGACCCGTTACTAAGTACAGTTTAAAATAAATAAACCTTTGTAAAGAATATGGATTATGATTTACAGTTGATGGTTAAAGTTAAGTATTAGATTTGGGGTTTTCATCACGAAATGATATCACCTAAAATATCAAAACTCTATTTACTCAAATGGATAAGTGAATTTCGTGCAAACATTCGACACATGTTATCCTACATCTGACTGATTCGTTCATAATTTATGGTCTAGCCAACAAGTTTCATTGAAATAGAATTTCTTTCTGATATATATCATATTAATATAAATGTCTCTGCTTAATCTACAATGGATTATAGTGAATGAATAAAGTATTACAAAGCTATTATTCTATTTGTCACCGCGCTGATAATTATAACTATTCTAATTGAAAACACTTCCATGACAGTCACTATAAAAGTAGATGGCTATTCTGATATTAATTTGTTGAAATTGAATTGGTACTTGAAAGTTATCTGAAAAACTGAAATTACTTGATTGTCTTCAAGAAATGAGACATTATTATTTAACCATAAAGTTTGTAAGTATCATTAGCATGGTTCGACTTAATAATTTTGAACAGACTGAATAGATGAAATAGATTCATGCTAATAGATATAATGATATATTTGTCAAGTTCAAGTGAGTAGATAATTTACTACGTAACATTTGTTGACTTAATGTAAACCAATCCATCAAAAAATAAATAACTTAATTAATTAAATTAACATATGTATTCATTTATTTGTTCTCTGAAGAGGTGGCTTACATTAAGTTAAGAAACACCATAAATTCAAATTTCTTCACATTAAGACGTTATGAATATACAAATATTTACATAACGATTAAAGTAAATTGATATATTGAATCATCCTATAAATTAATAAGAAATATTTAACATTAAAGTCACAATGTTTAATGAAAGACGAATTACTAGGAAATATATTTAGGCAACACGATCAATTGAATGAACAAACTTAAAAATGTGAACTAACTGAAAACGAACGAGAAACGCATAAAATCAAGATATAACGCACAAAATAAAGCGTCACTCAGACGAATATCTAAACTGCAGCTTCATCAGCCCTAAAGACTAAATGAAGATCATATAGATAAGATCACTCAATGTACAGATTTCAAGATATTTACTAAAGATTTTTAGCATTTACCATCTTCTAACTGATAAATTTGTCTGCAAAAACAGTGAAACCTTTTTAAATAAAGTAGGTAGCTGAAAAGATCACATAATTTTCAAATTTACCAATGCAAGATTGAAGATTATCTTCTAGCTAATATATAGCTCTGTTTACTACAGTGACTGAAAAACAGAGCGCTATCAGAAGAGCATCAAAACAAACAAATTTCACATCAGTTGCCATTTCGCATCACTTTTAGTCAAGAATTAAAATTGATACTCCTCAGTATATTATCAAGTTATTGGATTTCAAATTCACAAGAAATCCAATGTTTGATCTCCAATTATTACACACTGAATCTATTATTGTCCAAACTATTAATCCAACAACCTGGATTACTTTATCATTCAACAGAATCTCTCGAATCTACTACCTATTTAAAAGTCAGTAGGTCCATCTTCGACGAGTATCAATTCAAATGTATCAAAATACCTCATGCCTATCATGAAGCACTGGAATGTACACTGAATATTTTGTGGAACTAGAAATAGTTAATTTGAGACAATTACAAAAGCGAATAAATTACTAAACCGAATTACATGTATTTAAACTTGCTGTTATTCTTGAGATATTTAGCAACGTAATGACAATGGTGAAGGCATGAAAACTGAATAATGACTCAGAAGTAGTAATTTAACGAAATGATTATAAGTAACTGCGAGTTTTCCTGTACGTGAAGATGCTGATGAAAATGGGAATTGTTATACAACTAATTCATAAAACAGATAGACTTGGTTTGTGCAAGTTAACTTTTGTAAGTTTCACTTTGTGTACATTTCGAACTGTTGAAGCATAGTGTTAGTTGGAAGTGAGACAACAGATAAGCCGTTAAAAATACAGGACGCTGTACAGAATCGGCCATACCTGCATAAACGGAGAATACTAGATTTTGTATCTGTATCGATATCTCACCGACTCTAAACATTCTTCTCTACAAAATCATCAGAACTTTCGCTTAAATTTGATCGATTCATGATCTCAGTCAAAAACCAACAATCTCCACAACCCCACACCGATCATAATTATTTTCATTATCTCAAAACTACGTCGTCTAACTAGACTTCACAATAGATAGTGGTTGGCGAAAAAGTTAAACAAGTGATTGATTAATAATCTGACTCCTTGTAATATACTAGTAAGTGTAAATATTCGCGAAAATTTTAATGAATAATCCTATACTACTATTCAGGGAATGAATCACCCTAAAAGTAGTTGAAGAGATTCATCTTGCAAAACCACCTCTGTCCAAAGTGATGATAATTGTAATTGATTTCACATGATCGTCAACTGATTAGAAAGAAGGAAATGATCCAACAGGATAAAAACCTACAATCTACTAATAATACTTGATTGATGCAGGACTCTATTTTCGATTTGATCCGTTGGACACCATACAGGCATGATAATATATAATAAAGAAACTGTCCAATAATTCGAGATTTCCAACGAGTCCCTAACTGGTCTCTACCAATGTTGAAAATCATCTTTAGAATTCGCTTCTCGTTACTAAACTGCAGCTGCAACCAACATCCCAATGGAGAACACACAAATCGATCAATCGTGGTGACTTGAAATAACGGTCTAAATACTGATATAAATGTTTAAATGATATATCACGTATAATCGTATTCAAAAATCATACGTTCTACTCTATTCATTTCGAATTAGTTTACATTAAGTCAACTAAGCGAAAGGTATATGGACTATAGTTCAGTCTGGTTTCAAATACCTCGATCATTAATGTAACAAATTAAATAGGTTAGACAAAAATACTTTGTGTTTGAAAGTGTAACCAATTCTCTCTATGATTCCAATGCATTTGACCTATATGCATATACACGTCAGTTGTGTGCGTCTGTAAATTCAATTTTGTAAACATCACCACATAAGTATCATAAATGAGAAGTGCACATAAATCTTAAGCGATAAACTACCTTGATACATAAATTCATAATATGAATTACACTATATTGAATAGAATTTATAAACGTAAATTATTTGTTTGTATGTAGGTGTGTATCAATGACGGTGATTTGAACACGATGTAAAGCCTATGGAAATTTTATAATCCTTACAAAGACCTACACTGAGAACAGTTTTCTGTCATAAAGCTCTCCCACAGGACCAGAATGAAATCGTTAAGAAGAACTATAGTTGAACCTAACAACTAGGATCACTTTGACGGAAAAACGAGTTATCTACAAGCTGATTTTCTCCAATCGTCTATCAGAATTTATCATGTTTATTTTGTACTAAATTTTCCATGTCATTTTATTGCACACAAAATCCTATTCTTCAGACTATCGACGTTCTCTATTATTCCTATGCATTCATAGGCTTGCGTCAATAATACATTCTCGTTCTCGGTCATCACATCATATCATCGAGTCCATATATCAACTCGCATTTTACCCATTAATTTGAAACGTGGAAAATCCCGTTCAACAACTCATATAATACTCAACTGAAGCAGAAATCACAAGTTTGTTACTCACAGAGGACGCAACAACTATGACACGATAGTCCTTGTTCTGATTATCTCACCAGAACAACGTGACACGATTTTATTTGTATTTATCATTTAACCCTGCCAGAAAGCCTTATTTTGTTGGCTTAATACATTGTCTCGTTTTAAAGTCTTCTGAATAAAAACATGCGACAACCTGATAATAAGTGAATGATTTTGAACTGAAATGATTAAAGTAATGAAAACTGGCAAGATATTCTGCACTGATGTGCATGTGTATTTGAAACTTCTAGATAAATTACTCATCAAATGTTTGAAGTGCCTAGGACCAACAAAGTGAACAGATAATTGGATAAACGTTTCAGTCAATGGTAATGTCTTGAGTTGACATAGTAAGTGAAGCAGAAATGAATTTATTGGG